CTATAGAGCCTGCACTGCTGAAGGCCCCTCAAGCACCTGCTGTTCATAAACCAGCCCCTGTCCCTAACTGGCCCAAGCTCAATCAACTTTGTCATCTTCCTTTAAATAGGGAGCTGTGCTGTAAAGCCAAAGAGCAATGGCTGGGTAGGAAGTGGGGATCAGGCAGCACGATGCCTTTTTAACCCTGGCGTCTCCAGAGTTGACATGAGAAAACGCGTTTAATGTCCAGGGAATTTTGTACAACACAGGCTCTGAAAGGATGGTGATAACAAGGACAGGGTGGGAGAGGGTGTCAGGAGCTGGGCAAGAGCCGCTCAAGCAAAGAGACTTAAGAAGAGGTCTTCCGTATCTGAACAGCTGTGCAGTCACCATTTATTGGAACAGCGTCCTGCTGATTGAGTCCATGGCAGCAGATCCTGGCCTCGGCCTCCTGCTACTTGGAAACAGAGCTAGCGAGATGGACAGCAAGATCCAAACCTGTGTTCCTAGCCCTGTACTATTTTTTTCCCTATGAGCCAAAGACCGATTTGGAAGCTGAGCCGGGCAGTTATAGTAGCGACTGCGCTGCCGAGAACGATTTCTCATCAGAGAGAAGACGCAAACAGGAGCGTTACACAAAGACGCTGCTTAGTGCAGAGATGTGAGCCAAGAAGGCTGCTGTCTGCCAGGCGTCTAGGGACCAGCTCAGCAGTCTGCCTGGCACAGAGGTGAAAGGCAACGGTCGATGCCAGCTGCTGACCTGGCTGGCCCGTGGGGTCTTTCTGAGCAAGAATATCGGCAACAGACCCTAAGAAGCAAAAACTCCAAGCAGGCCCTGGGTGTGCCTGGGGACAGAGTGTTGTGCATGGGCCGAAAGTGCATGTTTGTGCACCATTCACCTCAAATGGCCTGCTGTTGTCAGCTGATGCAACTACAAGAGCCAGGGGACCAATGTGAGTGAACATGCCAACGGTGTGTGCATGCACACTGGTACGTGCATGAGTCCACGTTCCTTCAAGTGAGCCTGCATGCGCCAATTGGATGTTGGGTGTCCTATGAGTGTTTCCCAAAGCAGTGTCTGACTCAGGAGTAAATGGGCCTCAGGAGAGCCTCCCTGACACTCCCTAAGCATTTGGGGCCAACGTATTTAGCCTAGCTGCCACAAATAAAGCCCCATGGCCCTCCCCAACTACCAGTCCTATACCCTTGCGCTGCCTGATTTGCTGCTCTGCTTCCTTTCCCATGCTCCATACCTGATCTGCTACTCTGCTTTCTGCCCCAGGTACACTGTGCTGACTCGCCCTTGCTCCATCTGCTTCATGACACACACAGAGGCTGCCTGTGCCACTTGAGGCACCCATGTTGCAGGTTGGCCACCCCTGTTGTAAACTGATCAATCCTTATCAAGTGAGCGGCTCCACAGCAATCCCGTGGATCACTCACGTGACTCAGACTCACAGGCCTGAGCCCTGTTGCTGGAAGGGATTGCTCTCAGGCTAGAGGATTTTACTTTGAAAGTGTATGCAAATATAGACAGTGAGAAAATACAGGTCCCGAGGTCCCCAGATAGTGTGTGGCGATGCTCAGGCCTCAGGGGACCAGTAACAAAAGTGACCACAGTCACAACTGTTCCCTGTTTGTTTGGAAATAAAAAAAAAACAGTTTCCAGTTAATCCACTGCAAACTATAATGTGGGAAAGATGGGTTTATTTCCACCAATGACACACAAACATGACATTCAGGAAGATCACTGTCACCTGGCCAAGATAAATGTCCAGAAACAAGAAATATTGAAACCAAAAGCCCCATTTCTCTTCAGGTTGGGCACAGGTACAAGAGTTTGGTCCAGAGTCCAACATGGGAAAGACTCAATAGGTCACTGCTGCAGGAGGGACTCCTAGGCATGATGTACTCGGATGGGATCACAGGGTTTGGGCAGGGATACACCCCAGAAATGGCTGCAGTCTCTGGGCCAGGGCAGTGGCTCATTGTCACCCCCTCTGGCTGGGTCAGGTCTCCTGGCTGCCACTCCCCACCTGCCTGCCCAGCTCCTTCTCCTCCCTGGCAGCAGTGTCTCCTTGTGTGGCTCCCTCTCCCGCCTGGACGCTGATGGGAATGGCTTTCCCCTCTGCGGGCTGCAGGGCCAGGCGTGGGGCCTGGATGCAGAGCTGTCCATCCGAGCACAGGGAGCAGGTCACAGCCTCCAGATCCAGGCCTGCGGGCAGCCGCATTTCCCTGCGCAGCTCCCGGTACTCCTGCAAGCTGCCTCCATCCTCTCCAGCGCTCTTCTTCTCACGCCTCCCCGTTACCATCACCCTCCTGCCCTCCTGCCTCACTGTCAGCTCCTCTGGTGCGAAGCCGGCCACATCCACACGCAGCTCGAACTTCTTGCGCTGCTGACCCCCAGACTCTGGCTCCTGCTCTGTGGCCCCAGCCTGGGCTGCTCCATCCTGCCTCAGCTCCCCTTGGCCCGCAGGCTCCAACCACAGGAGCGGCTGGGCCTGCAAGACGGCACGGCTCAGCCTGTCCATCGCCTCCACCTGCTGCTGCAGGTCACTCGCCATCTGGTCAAAGATGCTGGCTGGCGATGGCTGCAGGAGGCTGCTCATCCCCTCGCTGCTGCAGACACACGTGGGCCACCAGCCTTGCGATGGCCACTGCCGCACAGGGAGCAGCCGCACCAGGCCCCGGGAGTAGCGTGCCATGGCTCTGCTCCTGCCGCACACACTGCCCTTGCCTTGCTCAGCTGAGCACTGCCTCTGCTGCCTGCCCGGCTGCCTTTTGTACCCATGGCGCCCTTCCAGGAGCTTCCTGAACCGTCCTCCTCCCGCCCATATCTGGGCTGAGCCCTCCCCGTCCGGCCCTATGTGGCCTTGGTGGGAGGGCCCTGGCCCTGACTCATGAATGATGGATCAGGGCGGCGGAGCTGGTGACTTGTGGCTCTGTGGAGCAGGGCTGGCTGCGTGCTCGGGGCTGGGCTTTGCTGGAAGGTGCCTGAACCCTCTGGGTGCACAGAGTGGGGACGGGCTGCAGGGCTGTGTACCTCCTCCCCCTGGTGCAGCCATGGCTTTTGCATGAGCCCCGTTGTCCAGGATCGCAGAGAAACGCTCGAGGAGCCTCCAGAGAAATCCAGCTGACACTGTGCCTTTCCAGCGACTCACAGTCACGGGACCAGATTGGCAGAGGGCTGGTGTGTGAAGTCAGCCAGTCTCCAGGGGAACAAGAAATTATCAGGATGCACAGGCAGGATGCACCCCCCAGTGTCAGGAAAAAGCAACAGGCAGGAACTTCAGTCCACATCTCACAGCTTCCCAGAGACTCTGGTTCCAAAGTCTGTGATACTGCTCATGTGGGGGGAGAGGGGAAACGGGGACGGGGAGATGCCGTTATTCACGGAAGACACGTGCCATAGGTAAGGGTTATTGTGCATATGCAACTATGTGTGCACGCTCACTTCTACGTTTACATGATGGGGGGGCAAATCTGGGTCTGAATGATGCAGCTGTGTGGGTGTATTTCAGTGTTTAGCCCTGCACAGTACATGTATAACATTATGCCCCGGGGTGCTGACAGTGCGCTTAAAACCTGGCACCCCTTGAACTTTTATACAATCCTCTAGTGCTGGAGATGAAAGACCCAGGTCTGTGAGCAGGCGTCTCACCCTCCACGTGGCCCAGTCATGCTGGCACAGGGCAAGGCACCAAGACAAGCCCGGCAGACAGGGAAACGCACACAGATGCCAGCTCTCTCATCCATCCAACAGTCCTGTACTTTCGAACAACTGAGATTTACCAGGAAAATCTCCCAAGCCCATGTCACAACGATGCCTAACCCAGGCAGCAGGTACACAGCCCTGCAGCCCGTCCCCACTCTGTGCACCCAGAGGGTTCAGGCACCTTCCAGCAAAGCCCAGCCCCGAGCACGCAGCCAGCCCTGCTCCACAGAGCCACAAGTCACC